ACTTCCGTCCACAGCAGTCCTACTTGGAGCAGGGACGGTCCATCGTGTCCCGGCAGATGGAGTTGAGCGGCTTCAAGAGGCACAGCTACGCAGAAGGAACCCAGGACAATTACATGTCCTCCAGGCACTATATGAAGCACAGAGTCATGAACAATCTGGATGAGACAGACTTCCACAGGTATACAACCTTTTCAATCCCAATATTTGTGGCAATAACATTCATAGCCGGAGAGAAATCTCATTGAATCTCTGCATTTTTAACAGGGAACCGAGACACAATTTCTACAGTGAAGGTCCTGGACCAGGTTCTGGCCAGGGACACTATGACAGACATCGTCCTCCACATCTAGCCATCGACCAGTATTCAGACACAAGCTCATTTCGCTCAGACCTCGAGTTCAGCACCGGAAACTACCCAAGAGGCTATGCACATCTTTCCTCCGAGGATTTAACCGGGCCCGATGGGATTCATGCGCCTCCGGTGGCTGGAAGATACGGAGGAAGCTCCGCCCAGAAGAGGCCAACCATTGGTCAGGCGTATGCTTGTCAGAGCTCACCCACACACCCTCACCCACCAGACAAGAAGCCATTTCCAAAGTATTCAGAGCAGGAACACGGTCAGGATGCAAGCGTCCGACATGGATTGCGGAACTGGCGGATTCACTCTTATCTGAGCACATACGAGGAAGGTGGAGAAGCTGGCCTGAACCAACCCGCAGGCCCTGACGCATTTGACGATCCTTCCCCTGTTCAGGAGCCGGGTGAAAATTCAACCAGCCGTTTCGGACAAAATGACCCAACAAATCTCGCCTCGAAGTCCAGAGTGGATATCCAAAAACCACGCTTTGGGAAGCCGATCATCGATGGCAGCAGCAAGGATTTAACCACCAAGGACCTGCTTTCTTCAGTTTCAATGGATAGGAGTGAGAAGGAACTGGAGAAAGAATGGGGTTATGGAAAAGAGGACAGCAGGGATAAAGAATTCAAAGAGCCCCCAGAACTCTTCCTTTCCAAACATGACTCCTTCCGCTCACGGGTAAACCCGCTCCTTCAGCGTAGCTCACGTCTGCGCTCCTCGCTCATATTCTCATCTTCCAAAGCAGAAATTCACAGCGGGAGTGCCGGCGTGAAATCCGGCACGGAGGACGACGGCAAATCCTCTATTGTAGCCCAGATCCTAGAGAAGAGGCGATCGTTGTCTCGGGAACCTTTCGAGTGGAAAAAGATAGCTGACGAACAAAGTAATGAGGACGAAAAGAAAAATGAGGATGCAAAGGAAAACGAGAAAGGACTGACAGACATCGCAGAAGGAAAAGCTGAATACCAGAAACCTCCACAGGACACCGAGTCAAATTCAACTATTGAGACCTCCGACACGGTCACATCATCATCTCTGAACATCAATGACCCTGCCAGTCGACTCAAGTATTTCAAAGAAGTAGCCGCTAAGCGAAAAGCATCGAAAATGGAGACTGAAGCGTCGCTAAAACTCCCGGAGCCTGCAGAGAAGAAGTCAGACTACTCTGACACAAATTCCCCCACAAATACTTCAGTCAGTTCTCTTATAAGTTCGGGAGAATCCGAGACGAAGAAAAACGATTCCTCAGCAAAAGTGATGGAACTCACTCGGCGATCTTCGCTCACATCCACCAAACCGTCTCTACTCTCTCCCAAACCTTTCGTAAGCAGCGTGAAGCCCCCCGAAGCCCACAAGGACGAGAACTCATCCGACGGTCAAAAGAAAGACATATTTAAGACGTTGAAGCCACTTCAATCCCCCAAGATCTTTAAACGGGACCCGCTTAAGCTTAAGGGACTCAATCCTCGTCGGGTCTCCTGTGGCGAAGAGATCCTGACGGATGCCACAGACTCCGAGAAGAGCGAGCTGAAGAAGAGTCGCTCTCATAGTTCCTCCACTGCATTGCACGACGACTCTAAGGACAAAGTTATGGGATCCAACACATCCATCAACACGATTGGCGACGGAAAGGGCGACGGCAAAACGCTTGACTTCCTGAAGAAACAGACTCAGAGGCTAAAGGGATTATTGGGTCCCAAAGATAAGGATAAGAAGTCTTCAGGAGAAGATCGCGGCAGCATGAGCACCGTGAAAGAAATGGTGGAAGATTACAATAAAAAGCAAAGTAAGGACACGGGAACCACCGCCGTCGATCAGACCACCGCCAACCACAAGACGTCAGCTGGCATGTCAGGTTCATCGCGGTACCAGCCCTCCGGGAGCTCGGTCCTGTTTAGCAGCAACCTCCGCGACGACACCAAGGTCATCCTGGAGCAGATCTCAGCAAACAGTCAGAAGAACCGACACGAACGGGACGAGGACGGAGACCGCGACGCAAAGGACAACGACTTTGCCGCCAAGAAGAACCGCTTGCTGCGACCTCAAGTTGTTGTACAGGAGAGGGAGGGACTGCTAAAGAGGATAGAGAGCCTGAGGAAGGAGAAGAAAGTCTACAGCCGCTTTGAGGTAGTTTAATGCTAGGTTCAAAAAGTTAGCGATGTTGGACTTTGAGGCTAAATTTCAAAGTAAAATTTCAATTCACTATAGTCTTTAGAACTGAGCCTGTTTTGAACCTTTTCATGCTTCAGTCCAACTATCAAGTGTTTCAATTATTTTTAGAGAACTGTATTCAAACAAAGTTTTAGGTATTATTTCAGGAATATGCTGTTGGATTGATGCCAAGGGCTGGTTTTATAATCCAAATCATGCTGTGTGAACATCAAAAGTAACAAGTAGAAGTTACTGTCGTTTACAACCTATCAGGGTTACGAATGTCGCGCCATGTTAAATAATCGAGTCAACTTTGTGACCCTCAATCAATGTTTTTGATGTATATTAAGACTTGAAATTGGCCCCGAGGTCTATTCAGGGGTGCTGGATAGGGGAAGTTGAGTCTAAGACTCAGGAGAAGCAGTGATGGTTTTCGTCCCGGCCTTAGAACAGCGGACCAGCTCTCGAGGGTGCGTGGGAGTTCGCCCAAGAGAGGAGCCAGATGAGGTGGCTCGGGCATCTGATTAGGATGCCTCCTGGACACCTCCCTGGTGAGGTGTTCCGGGCACGTCCCACCGGCAGGAGGCCTCGGGGACGACCCAGGACATACTGGAGAGACTATGTCTCCCGGCTGACCAGGGAATACTTTGGCATCTCCCGGGAAGAGCTGGAAGTAGTGGCTGGGGAGAGGGAAGTCTGGGCTGCCCTGCTAAAGCTGTTGCCCCCACGACCACGACCCGATTCCCCATAAGCGGTAGAAAATGGATGGTTGGACTGGCCCTGAATTTAAAAAAAATCTCAGAACAGGCCTTGAAACAGGATTATTTTCACACAGTATATGCCCCTCTTTCGATATAAAATGTAGAAATCAGGTTAGGAACAGTATTCCAAAAATAAGATCTTCTTGATTTTCATACCCTTGTTCCATTTAGAGACCACAATACGTACTGGTTTCATTTCTAAATCAACTTTTTATTTCAATGACTTCAATTATGTCTTTTCGATTCGTTACCAATCGATTAAAGTGACACCACCAAATAATCGCTTTGTTGGTCTTTTAACAGATGGGGAATACCCTTGGATAACGGAGAAAAAGTTGTCCGGGTGATGGCGACGTGGGAATCGACTAAAGCGCGATGAGCAAACCCACAAATGTGCCAACAACATTCTGAAAGTTTGCTCCAATACGGCGACCTCTCCTGCTGGATTTTTTTGTTTTTGTTTTTGTGTTTTTAACCCGGAAGAAAACTTGAAACTACAACATGGAAAAATGCAACAAAGAAAAAAAAAATCAATGGGTGCAGAATGTACCCGTCTGTAAAACACTGATACAACTTTTACCTTATAAGGTGACTGGAAGTGGAGAGTGTGCAAAAGAAAAGATGGGCTTGGTGCAGGCTTGTTGACTGAAAGGGGAAGTCAGAAAAACACATTGAACGAACGAAAATACAGATAGATGCCATTCGACAACGACAAAAATATGTGCTTTGCCTTTTGATTTGTTTTTCCACCGGGAATGTGTCTCTTAGTGTGCCAAAATACATGTAAAACACAGATGTTAACAGTAAAAAAAAAAAAAAAGTTAAAACCCTCCTGTTGTGTCAATTGGAGATCTCACACACTAATCCATGTTTCTTATGTTTGTGTCTTTAATTGGTGTGAAATAAGATGTGATGTACATGAAATAAAGTGGGAATAAGTGTATAATATTTGCAAGGAAAGAAAGTGTATATATATATATATATGAGAACGGGGCAGGCAAAGCATAGCTCGCATTTGACGCACACTGGGTTTTTTTTTTTTTTAAGTTGGCCCTCAGAGCATTTACATTGTCAAAAGTCCTGTCATATTTTTATTTTGAATTTTATCACTGTCAAATTATAAATCTAATTTAGACAAAAAAAATATATACATAAAGTTAGCATTAACATTTTTGTTAATCTCATTCATGAATGAAAATGTCAGTTTGTCTGTTTTAAAAATCAAATGTGAGCAGCGGTTTTCCCACCGCTACATTAGACAGTCTGTTGTGTCCAAATACAAAGTAATGCAAATGAATCCCTAATATTAAGACACATAATAAAAAGAAGACGGTAAGGCCAGCATCAGACATTTTAATGTGAATTTCCTTTTGTATTCAAATTATACATGTCGATGTTCAAATTTGAAAGAAGGCAATTTTCAAGCCGCGCCGTGAAAGGAGGGTTCTCTGATGTGTAATTTCCAGCGTGTAGTCAATTTGCAGGACTCGCAACAACAGGTCGACGCAACGGAGCTAAACTAAGTGTAGTCGTCTTTGGCTTTGAACTTATTTAATGTACATAAATATGTTTACAGCTTCAACTTGAAGTGGAGAAATTCAGTTTTCCCAGCTTTGGAGCGAAAAAGATTTTGCTGACGGGACTCATTTAATTCATTTTAAATGTCATCGACGCCTCTTTTGGATAGTGTGATTAAGCCAAAGATTTAGGCTGGTCTAAATTTTATTTTATTTTTTTTGCACTGTTTTATATGCGAGGTTGTACATATTCAAAAGAATTAATTGGCTGGCTGTTTTTCATTAACCAATACTTGTCATACTGTAGTCTCAAAGAACCTTGTATTCATATTTTCCTGAATAAAATTTGAATATGTGGTCATTTAGTATGATGAAATTGCATTTTAAGTATGCTCCAAATATTTGAATTAAACCTCTCCCAAAGCCAAAAAATGCTTGTCTGTGCACTTTTGCAATTCCATAAGTGACGACGTATTTGGCTGAACAAGAATTGAACATTTCACATGTGAAACAGGTTTGAAGCATTAAAACACAAATTGAAGAGGAAAAAAAAATCCAATAGTTTTAGCAGGGGAAGATTTTAACAGTTACCTCACGTCAACATAGGAAAAAGGAGGAAACCACGCTTTTCTTTTCCATTGAAGTACACTTGAAGTCTTTGCGGCGTATGGCGTCAGGTGAGCGGACGTCTCACATTCTGCAAAAGCAACGGAACAAGAGTTAATGGTTCGGAAAGGGAAAATGCAAGGAAGCACGCCAGGAAAAAAAGGACGTGCTGAAGGTTATTTACCTCGAGTCAATGCTCTGCTTTATGTTTTTGGCTGAGAATCTTTCTGAAAATCCAATGAGAAGATTGTTTAAGTCACAAGTGTCAAAGTCAAGGCCCGGGGGCCAGATCCGGCCCGCCACATCATGTTTTTCAGACACGTTACAAGGAAGCAGTGACAGAACCGATGAAGGTTAAAGTGACAGCCGAAACCGTCAGCCAGGTAAGAGTTGAAGAGAAACTTCGCCAAAAAAGACAGTTGTCTGGAAAAAAATGAACTTTAAACCTAATTTAACAAATAGTTGACTTGAGTAATTTCAAAACTCGTAATCCATCAACTGGTTGTGTACAAGTTATGCGAAGAGATGATTAAACATGTATTCGGTTTCACTGTCGTAACGGCCCGCCAAGGGAAAACGTAACTCCAACGTGGCCCGCGACAAAAATGAGTTTGACATCCCTGGTTTAGGTTATTAACAAAATGAAAAGTTGCCACGAAACGGGCCCACTTACAATGATGGCGTACAGTTGGTTGTGCTGCTTAATGAGTTGATGGAGCTGATCCTCAAATTTCAGCCTGTAGTTTGAAAACATTTTTAAAATTACCATAGATGTACAACAACAACAGTTCATCGAGGCTACGACTTGTAGTTAATATGCACCGTAGCTTGCGCCGCTTGAGCTTCAACTCCTGGATTTCATACCGGTGCTGTGCCAGCAGTTCGTCGCTCTTCTTGTTCTGCTCGGCCAGCCTAAAACGGACGTCGGGAAGTGCAAAAATTAAAGGATACGATGCAGGCACCTTTCACTGAATATGGCAAATTCGTTACTTGGTTGTTTAATTTTTTGACTTGACGGCTGCGCAGGCCCTTTAAAGTTTCAAGTACTTGTACATGCACAATTTAGAAATGTTCAATATTAACGCTAAGCAATATGAAGTATGTCAAATCGGAAAAGAAGCCTTATTTTCAACAGAAGGAAGACAATTTGGAGAAGGCCATGGTAAATTACTACCACCTAGTGTGAAAATAACAAATCTCTCCTCTTCGAAAAAAAAAAATGTCGTCAGGACTTTTTGGTATGTTGCGCCTCCGGTTTGAGCGTGAAAGATCACCTGACAAACTCGCGCTCGGATTCCTCGCACTGGAGCTGCAACTTCTGCGACAATTCTTGAGGAAAGGAGATGTTCCGTTGATTGAGTGACTGATTGAGTGACAGCTTCAGGAAGTGAACATGAATTTGGAGTACCTTTTCTTTCTTGATGGGTCCTCTCCAGTTGGAAGGCCTCTGTTTGCACTGAAACAACAACAGGGACTTTTTTTATGTACTCTAGGACATGATCTCATAGCAAATGCTGGAAGCAACAGATACAGCACATTGTTCAGTGGAACCTCCAAACAGTCCACATTACAAACATTCTTCAACGAATGTGATAGAGAAAATGGACTGATAAAAGTGAGTAATTGTTGAAAATATGGCGAGGGAAAATGGAGGTGTTTGACTGTGCTTTCATGTCCCCTGGTGGCATTTTGTAACCATTGCTGGCTATTTAATAAAGCCCTGTGGCGTTTAATTTCGTAACTACTCCATTTCTGGGTCAGGTGTTATCAATAAACTTTCTTGTCACATCAAAAAAAGAAATAAAATAATAATAATTACCACCATTTCAGGAGATCGAAGGGTTTGTTTGCTTTTCCAGGCGTATCTCGAGCTGCATTCAAATTCCTATTACTTTTGGAAGTGTATTTTTCCTGAACATTTCAACTGTACACCAAGTCGTAACATTTTGAGAGAAGCTCTACTTTGGAGGCTCCACATAAGTGGTGATAATATATCCGCTCCTTACATGTGGCCAGCTCCTTCTGGAGACACTCACTGAGTGATTTTCTCTCCATTATTTCCTCCTCCAGGACTTTTTTGCCTTAAAGAACAACATCAAACGCAAGTGAAGAAATATTCGGGATACCAGACTTTCCAGTGAAATACCAGGATGGCACCTAAAATGCGCTATAAGCATTCCAAGTGAATTTGATTTGACGTCTGTTAACCTCTGCACGTCTAACTTTTCAAAGATGCAACAATTGTTCCACAACTTGATGCTCTTCTAAATAAAGAGAGCTGAATGACAAAAGTCTACAATCACGCATAAGTACCAATGACAAATACTTAATGCTTTGCGAGGTTTGTTGCCACGAGAGTCACATCGACTTCACGAACGTTCCAAACACGATACGACTTACCTGTAATGCGTATCTATTACTTTAACACAAGCAAACGATCAGAATGGCTCCTGTTTGGATGTGCGACCAAACAGGAGAGAGACATTAATCATGGCTCATCATTCTCCATTCATCATTTTCTGATACTCCTGTTTGGAGTAACAGGTAAGGATGTACCTCACTGATAATACCGTACAACGGGCAAATCGTGGATTTGACTTCGGGCACAAACCAAATAAGTCACGGTTTCAATTTGCAATGTTAACCGCGATTCTTGAAAAAATAAATAAAAAGAAACTCTTGATGCTCCCGTGTTCAACATGACGTTGACGAAGTCAGTTCACGACGAGAATTCAATGACTGAGGCCATTTCGAATGTTCAACGTACACGATATGAAAAACTACCCAATGACGTCATGACACGCACGCGTCCTTATTGGCGCGTAATAAAAAACGAAGAAAATCGAACTTTCCACGGGCATACTTTCACATTAACTTCAAATTCCGTCTCGAAATAAAATAATAATCCACATAGCTGGCACATATTGGGTCTGGCATTCTGTGTTAACAAAGAAAGACGTCAAAACAAGGTGACATGGAAAAAACGGGAACGGAAATGACGCAGGTTGTCGAAATTGTGTTCAAGGGAGCACTTCCGCCACCAACGAAGTAAAAGAATCGACAATTCTAAAATAGAACTTGTGAAAAATACGTGCTATACACACCACGAGCACATCAATTTATGATATGATTAATGACCCAACCAGAAATGTATTCTAAAACCACGTGTTAACAAATAAAAGCTATGTCACCTTGTTGCAGGCTCTCGAGTTTGCTCTTCAGCTCTTCAATTTTGGGCTCCTGTGTACCTCCACCTAGTGGTTAAATAGAATTGATAATTTAAGACATGTTATATCTGCGTGTCAAGTCAATACATTTACTATTTGAACACATCTTAGACAAGCTTACCTGCTTTGGCTCTAATGATATCTTCCGTGTTGAACCCTGTTACAAGACAATACAAGAAAATGTCAACAAATATTGTTTTAAATAGTCAATCACTATCAGTTAATACAACCCATACTCATTAATTTATAGGTATATTATTGATATTAGCTAATGAAGCCTCACATATGCCATACAATGAAGACATTTTAGCTTCATCTTAACCAATTATGTGCGAACGTTAGCCGTGTGAGCTTAGCCACCTGTAAAATATTAATTACAGCAGCACAAAAATAATGCGTTTAACTAAAAGAACGCACAAATGTTACACATTAGAAGCTTACTTGTGTTGTTGAAGCTAACCAAGCTAACGTGATATTAATACCGGCGATTTTGACAACGCTAACAACTGTCCGCAACTACTACCTCGTACTTTTTGTTCTCTCGAAGTGGTAAAGTCGACCCACCTGCTGAATCGCTCATTTTAGAGTCTTTGATTGAAACTCCTCGTTTAACAATCTGGCGTGATGTTGGCAACTTAGTCCACTAAAGTTTTCGAGCAATTCGGCGCCAAAAAAAAAAAAAAAGGCCAGGTAGCCACAAAGACGGCAACATGGCGGACACATGTACTTATGTAAGGAAATATTAATTTCGCTGCAAAATTTATTGATTTATTTATCTGACAGTTTAGTGTTAAATTGGAATTTTTAAATTAACAGGTTAGTGTTAAAATTGATTTTTTTTAATTCACAGGTTAGTGTTAAAGTGGATTTTTTTTAATTCACAGGTTAGTGTTAAAAGTGGATTTTTTTTAATTCACAGGTTATTGTTAAAGGTTGTTAATTCGAATTTAATATCATTAAAAGTGATTAGCATATCTGTCTTCACAGTTGCCTGGTTCTGGGTTTAGAATCTCAGGCCTTCCTATGTGGGGTTTGCATGTTATCTTCATTAAAATTGCTCATAGGCCCGAATACAAATGTTTGTTTGTCCCCCGATTGACTGGCAACCAGTCCAGATTGTACCCTATTTCCCTCGCCCAAATCTACACGTCTTTTACACAGTGGTCATGTATTTTACTTTTCTGTTGTGTTGTTTTAACAACTAGCTTTTGTGCATTGTTGTACCTTGTGTGTCAGCATGCAGGGTAGTACAGAATTTTTTTTGGACAAGTTGTCTTCTTCCAAAGACAGCTAGGATAGGCTCCAGCACACCCCCACCTTGCTGAAGACAAGCGCTAGAGAAAATGACAATATTCCAATACACGTTCCACATGGTATGTTTTAATGTAAAGCCGACAGCGTGAGTAGGAATGCATTTCCACTCAAATTGAATGCAAACGAGTACCTGGCCTATACACACCAAAACACTTCTATGTTCATCTACATGTTGCGTTAGATACAAACATCTTTGCCAAACAACAAACCTTCCCAAATACAAACTGCACGATGTGCTGACAATGCACATGCGACAGGGCATGCATGGGATGACAAATAAAATTACAGTAATTTTTAAATAATTAAAAACACTGCGGGAGACTGCAGTAGTACCTTCAGTGTCACTTCGTAACCAGTGTTGATACATTTCCAGTTCAGAGTTAGTAACTCAACTGTCATCTACATGAAGCTCAATAAATAAGTTGTCATGCATTTATCTCTGTTGCATGTGTAAATCCAGTGTTCAGCTACTTTGTGGTCAAACCCCCCCACCCCCCTCAAAAAATGTGGAGCAGCATTACCAATACTTCATATTAATGGGACCATGGAAAATACAACACCGAAAAGAAAAACGTTCACTCCACAACAACGACCAATCAGGAAGAGAAAGGGGAAAAAATAAGTATGAAAAAGGCCTGCTTGTTGTACATCATTCTGACATATTTTAAATGTTGAGCTACCACGCTGGAACGGCCACAATATGGGTGTCCTAAGTCTGGCTTGAGGGGGGGCATTTTGACTTTTTATTCGTTAAAGGCCAGCAATAAAAGGTGAAAATAAAACTGATAAACACAACCGGAACATACAAAGCAGCAGCCTTACCAAATTGGTGAATTTTATGGGGAAAATGATGAAAACATTTCAAAAACTCCAGTCCTGGCTCGCGGTGTCGATTTTTCCAGCTTAGCGTCTGGCAAGCGACATGCTTTTTGAACGGTACATCAAACTTGTTAACTCATTTGAAAGGACGCTGCGTTGTTACGGCTTAGTAATGCAGTTAAGCAGTAGCTGTTGCACTTTTCTGTGTCGTTGATTTTATCACAGGAGAAAAGCTATTGATGTTGCACTTTCCTAAAAATGAAAAAAAAAAAAGTAAGATGTGATGAATTGATAAATTATTCAATATTTTATATTTGTATTTTACGGTAAAGTATAAATGATTGTCTTTGATACACCTTCATTTATTGGAGTGTTTCCCATTTTAGTTGCAATTTCCCTTCCTGTAACAAACCGTGAGTTTGCCATCAAGGTATGAACCGAAGCAGAATTTTTTTTGGGGGGGGGGGGGTACTGCATGTTCAGATCCTATTAGGACACATTGTTTGTTTCCACATTTGATTGGTTTTAGCAACTTCAATAAACAAAAGGCAAGAAAAATATCAAAATGCCCCATGCATTCCTTCAGTTTTGGACACCTCTGCCTAAAAGCAACACATCCCCAAATGAGCGTAGCGTGGCATTCTCATATAGCGGTATACGTAACTATTTACAGCCGAACTAATAAGCAAGAGCGATTCACTTGTACCTATAGAAACGGGCGTAGGGTGTTTTTGCGCCGTTGCCATGCAGTTACAATAGGAGGAGATATTTCCAGTTGTCCGAGACAAACACGCACATAAAAGATGCGTCTTGTGCTGAGCCAAAACTGACATCGAAAGGTGGGGCGATGTCGCCGGCGGACGACCGTTTTGTGTTAGTGGCGGTGCGGAGAGTGTTAAAAGTGTGAGGGGCCACTTGGGCGATACTGGCGAAAAACGTTCAATAAATTAAACAGCAGAATGAAGGATGGGAGGGGGAAAAAGAGACAACAAAAAAATGAAGGCTTCCTGCCCTCACCCCAGGCCCATATTCTCCTTTTTTTGCTCAATCGCGGGAGCGTCCCACAATAGCCAGGATGTAGAGGAAAATGTTGATGATGTCCGTGTAGAGGTTGAGGGCGGCGAAGATGTACTCCTCGGGACTCAGAGACAGCTTCTTGTTGCCCAGGAGAAGCTGGGTGTCCACAGCCAAGAACTGAGACAGAAAAAGACACGTTGACAAATTCAGGTCGCCAAAGCGTCCGTCCCCCCGCACCCATCGCTGTGAAACTCACACAAGTGAACAAGAGGGCACCCAGCGAGGCGTAGACGAGGTGCAGGATCTTGTGGCGGATAAACATGCAGAGGATGCTGAAGAGGAAGAGGACGATGACGCACACGAACAGCACGCCTCGACAGGAAGTGAAGTCGTACTTGCTCTGAAAAAACAGACAAAATGGATATTTCAAAACCACAAATGGAGCCGGGGAGAATTGTTCGAAATATTTGGCCTTTCTTGTGTAGCTAGGGTGGAACCTCCAAAGTTAAATGGCCAAAAATTGTTACAACACGAGTTCCAGTAATACATGTGACGGCAGAAAATCTGACGAGACCTCAGGTGACCGAGAATCAACATTTGACATTTGAAAGCCTCTGGTGGCTGGAATACTTTCTGTCTCACTGCGTCACCGTGGGGCCTTTCCACGGCGTAACAATGAGGCGCTCTAAAGAGGCGCAAAGTCCTGGTCTCCATGCGGACTATTCTATCTATATCTATATCTGTGTGCGTGTGTGTGTGTCCCCTCCGCTTCCGGCCTCTCACCGTGACGTGCACACACTCAGGGCCAACATCGAGGCACTCCAAAGCGCTCAAGTTCTTATATAGTACTGTAGGGGAAACTCATGCCAAAGTGCGATGTATAATGTGTTTTGAAACAAATCTCTGAATTCAGTTTAACATGGTCTTTTTGTTTGATTTTTCGGTGATGACAGCACTGCTTGCGATCACATCAGAACAACAAATTAAGACTGTTAGATTACAACGTGAGCAACCCTGTTAATAAATGACGACATACAGAAATTAATTGAACACAGATAGACCAATTTTCCGATTCAGCGGTGCTTATGAAACGCCACGATGTGACTTGTGCCCTCATGGTCCCCCTCCAGAATGTGATCTTCAAAGCCGTGTCAACTTACAGTAACTATCTTAGTTCGAGTTGAAGCGATGAAGTTGTACGACTCACCAATGCTTTATGGAACACAATTAATTCCATTATTTCCCATGGGCAAATGTGCATTTGTAGCTAATGCTGTGTCCGGTGAGTGTGTGACGTTCCCCTCCGCCAATTCTAACCACACATTATGACCAACAGAATTTGTGTTGTGGGGACCTGTAGTGAGAAGAGGACCACGGTGAAGCAAACCACAGCGGTGATCCCCACGGCCATGATGACGGTGTCGGTGTCATAGAAGCTGGCGATCATGCCCACCATATAGGACAGGCTCAGGGTCAGAATGGACTACGAGACAGTGGGGAGGGGGGGAAAAAAATGTCAACATTTGGCACCGTCCTTTGCCTTTTGTTTTTTTTCTATTCCTCTTTACCAGTGCCACCAGATTCCAGGGGTGCTTGCGGCGGAAGTCCCCGCAGCAGCTGAGC